AGCTCTAACGGATATAACAGCAAGTGTGTTTAGGGGTATTAAATAGCTGACTATATCAATGTTTTTGGGTCATTGAACACAGCTGTTTGCAGTCTCCCTATTTGAATGTCCACCTTGTATTCTTTGATACTGTGATTTGAGGAACTATTTTCAAGATGATAATATGTAATCTACTAACAGGTGATTTCTTACTGCTATGTTTTTTTTGTTGTTGTTGTTGTTTTGTTTTTTTTTTTTTGTAGTTCTGTATTACGTGTACCCTTACACCGCTTTGGTTTGTTTTGTGTTTTTCTCTTTTTCCTCTTAAATAAAAAAAAAAAAAATTAATTATTTTGCTTCAAAAGAAATCACAAACATGAAAGATAATCCATGGAATGGGAGAAAATATTTGCAATTGTATATATAAGGGACATCTAAGTATGTAAATTTTAAACAACAAAAAGCACAAATATCCTAATTTATAAATTGCCAAATGACTATAATAAACATGTCTCCAAAATTATATACAAATAGTCAATAACCCAATATTGAAAAATGCTCAATAGTATTAGTCATTATGGAAATACAGTTAGATGTCACTTCAGAATAATTGAGTGTTTCAATTAAAAACTAATTCAAATGTTATTAGTTTAAGATCAAATAAAATAGTCAAATTAAATAATATCTATGAGATTTCTGAAAGCATATTTATATACAAATTTCATACAATTACATATTACACATACATCTATAATCTCTAGTTAATTCTAAGTAAAACACATGAACTACTTCAAATAAATAATAATTTTGCTTAAACTGAGATTCTACAAGTTTTACTGAGTTTTTCTTTGGAAGAACATAATGATTTATGTAGCCAGAAAAACATTATTAACCTTGGGAACAAATGATCACAAAGAAAGTTTTAGTTTATCCTTGTCCCTGCTATAAAATTCTACCAGATTTTGCAAATATCTTACTTTTTTAGTTATAATCAGAAGAGGGGGAAAAAAGGTAGAAATTGTAGACCTAAAGTGTCACTGGCAAGGATTTCACAAAGTCCAGCAACAGATGGTATACAATATTTATGAGCCCAGTTGTTGAGTGCTTACAGAATGACTCCTAAACTGATCACTGTTTATTGAAGGGAAAGATGTGGTGTTATCTGTTTAAGAAGTTACCTGCTGTGTCACAGAAAGGCTACAAATCTTGCTCATCCTTGAAATTGTCTCCTTTCTAGTTTTATTAGCAATGGGCCATATTTTATATTGTTAGTTACTTACCATATCTAATTTTAAATAACTTGGTATGCTGAATAGCTAAATTTGTATTCCAGTGTAAAACAACTCCAATTCATTGGTAAGAATATATTTTAGCCTATTGTTTATCCTGTATTAAAAATAAGTGTATTCAATATACATGGATAAGTTCCTTAAGTTTGTGTATTTAGATTTGAGTAAACTAGACTGTCTTTTGGCTTCTTATAAATAGAAAATGAAATTAATTAAGTAGAGGGCAATGAAGAAATCTGCTGTAGTCAGAGATTTTGTATGACAATTGTAGCAAGACAAAGGCGAAAAAGGCTCTTAACAACTCAATCATTGCTGTTTGTAGCCAAATGTTAGATATGTAATGACAGAATTCAAATTTTTAACTATAGCTGATGATGACTGAAGGTTGCTCATAGCCTCACAAGATATTTTGAAGTAGTCTATTATGAGTATTTTAGAAGTTTTTTTCATGTTTGCTATTTGTTTTTCCATTACTGGCAATTCCCAATTTCCCACTGAGCCACATTCCCAGCCCTCCTTCTTACTCCTGTGGTCAAGGTCCTTTCCACAGTTAAACTTATGTGCAGGTTACAAGCTTGAAAAGGGAAAATGGCAGGCAATTCTCAGATCTAATGTTTTCATTATTTGAGGGTAAGGTATTCAAATAAGAAACAAAGATAAAAAGTTGGATACTCAGGACAGAAAGCAGGTTAATGTTTGGGGGGTCATGAGTTCTTTCCTACCACTAAAGAGCCAAGTATTTTATTTAAGAAGAGAGCTAAAAGTGTTTTTGAACCTAACACTTCTTCCAGTGCCTGCTCCTTCCCTACCACCACTGCAGAGATGAATTGATTTCAGCTGAGAATTGAAGCTTGCTGTGTGAAAGGCTGCTTTGTGTGAATAACATTGTTGTTCTCTGACAACAAAGATGCCTAGATATTTTGTTTTAAAAGAAATCTAAACAGAAGCAAAATTCAATTATTTGCCACTCCAGGGTCCTCACGGGAACAACCGTGCCTTGGCCTGGAGCCAGGAAAAGCACATTGTGTTCCCTGGCTCAGACATGGCTTGATTTACATTCTTTTGGGACTTTGTATTTAAAAGTATGTAAGATTCCAAAGTCAAATTTAAAATTAATAATAATGAGCCAATGTACTACCTTAACACTAGTAGGAAAACAAATATTATTTGAGTTATTCCTAGTAAATTATGTTTTATTTTCTAAGATGTCACTTTTCCATGACACAAAATGGCATAAAGGCTCTAGGCCTGAGATCTAAGAGTTAGTACATACTTTTGGACTAAATATTTTCAACTCTACTTTGTAAACCATATTCAGACAAAGGTAAGACAAAGGAAATCGAGCCATTTCACAGGCAGCAGACTGATTTGTAGATGGATCTGTCTGCAATATTTGCCATCCTACTGATTGCCCTGGGCGTCCCAATGATCTCACTAAATGGACAGGTCCCTTTTTTCACAAGCACTGCTCAAAACTACCATCCCAAAGAAAGGGATTAAAAATCCATTTCATGCCTGAATAACCCAAAGTCAAAATGTAACAGCATTAACTATGACATACTAGAGAAACTGGAATTCTTGTTTCATGATGTAAGAAAACTATCAATTGCATCGCTCAACTCTGATTTGTTTCAATATATGAAGAAAAAACAGTAAAAGTCTACTGTGCTCAGAGATTGAGCTTTGCTAAATTATCAACCAACAAAAAAGTTTTACACAAAGATTCCTACAAGAAAGAGAATGTCTCTCTTTCATCCAATAACTCTGGTTCTTATTTTTTTCTGTTCCATAATGGGAAGATAATGTAGGAGGTGGAGGAAAATTGGGAAGATCTATATGTACCTTTACCATGGTATCTGGCTAATAGCAAGCACTTTACTAATGGCAGCTCCTATTTTGTTTTGTTGTTAATAAAACAGAACAGAGCTGCAATTTATTATTATGGAAAAAGCATTAGAAATAAAAAGGCAAAGTGTATGTAATACCTCATTGTACCTTTTGGCTTTTTGTTGACTTCAAAATTAGATGACTCAATATTAATAGAGTTCTGAATTATAGAATCTGAGAGTTGAAAGGCACCTATTTCATTCATTAATTTACTATGTATTAGAATGAAGATGAAAAGATGACTCAGACATTGTCCTGCGTTCAACAACTTGCACTTGCAGGGGAATGATTTATCAGCACTGACAAAACAAAGAAGAAATGTAACGAGAGAGAGAGAGAGAGACACAAAATGTGCTTCAGAAGTGCTAGTGATAGTTAAGATGTGAAGTTCTGGTGGTTAGGGAAGCTACTGACATTTATAAACCAAGAATCACACATGTGATGATGGCGTGATTAGAACGGTTATCTACTGCTGGTTAGAGAGGTCATATGTAATTTGCCCGTATCATAGTAAGATGGGTAGAGGCACAGTGGATAGGCAAGAACCCTAGTCCAAAGAGAAGGCCTAGGGAGTTCCAGTCAGGAAATCCTATGCATGAAAACAAGATGGGTGCATTGGGAAGTAAACCCATGAGCACCGTTGGCTCCTGTGAGGCAGAGGTGAAGCTTAAGACAAAATTAAATCTGAATAGCAGCTAACAGTTCAGAAACTGTCAATACTAGGAATACCAAGCAAGTATATCAGGTACAGACGCTATGAACAATAAAATAAATAATAGGCTGTAGGATATCAATGAATTCACAGATGGATTCTAGCTAGTGGTAAGGAAAACAAAATGTAATCCACTCACTGGAAAATTCTGAAAAAATTCTGAAAAAATTCTGAAAGGATGTCAGAGTCTCAAAAAGCGAGCTGTGGTTTAATTTAGTCTCTAGAGGACCACCAGGGTTGATGGCACAGGAACCAAAGGTTGTGTAACAGGGACCGGCTTGTAGACCACTGCTAAGTATTGGGTCAGTAGTTTGAGAAGGTGGAGCAACTGAGGATAATTCATGCCCTGTATGTCTTTGTGTAAACTGTTGCTTGGGCTGCATTGAATCCCAACTATGGATGGTGGCATGGCTTGATTAATTGGCTGGTTAGTTAATTTATATTTTTCAAAAAATAACTCAGACTGACAACCATAATGATGACCAGCATGACTTAAGGTGATTACAGATTACTCAAATACAGGCTTTCTATTTAAGTTTATATCATATTATCATATTTACAGCTTGTTGGATACCCACCTCAATTTGTGTAGGTGCCTTATGTATGCTGGGGGAATATGTGATAAGAAATTAGGATATTTGATCCTTCAGGGGGTAATAAAGTTGTCATAATGATTTATGACTATGCACAGGGCTGAGTTCTTGGAAGCTTACTTTAAGGCTTTTGAGAGATCAGTCAGCCTCCATTCAAGTTACTCCACACTGGTACAATGACTGGCTTCCAATTCAGGAGCCTTCTACCATGTACCAACTGCAGAATGTGTCATAGCTGCTTCAGGATCAATCGGCTTTTTCAGAGAAGACAGGCGTTCTGCCATATCTTGAGGACATGTAAGCCAGGAAATTTGGTAGAAGCATGCATAAGATGTGGCTTTCATTTCCTATACAGGTATATTTTTATGTGCCAAAGCAGCATACTGGAGTGCTCGTGATTGTCATTATTAACACAAAGTGCTATTTTACTGGGTGCACCTGGCAGGCACAATGCTTGGTATTTTATCAATATTATTTTCAGTCTTCATAATAACTTTATAACAGATAAAATTACTAGCTGAATTTTGCAAATAAATAAACTCAAGGCTCATAGAAGTTTAATGAACTGTATCTAGAACACAGAATGAGAAAGGGGCTCAGGTTTTGATCAAATATGCTTCAATTTGTTCACAAGCCCAATCCTTTTCCACCACTCTCCAGTGTCTGCAAACTTTTATCTCAGGGCTTAACATTGTTTCGGAAATTCTTATGGTGAACCAAGTTATCCACAAATGAGTTTATGGACGTTCTTCATTTTCTGGGATATCTGGCAAAAGAAGGAAAGAAAAAAGACAACAAATTAAACAGAAAAAGTCCTAGTGGAGATAGCATATAAAATTCCATGTAATACTTATGTATGTATGTATTAAATATTATATAAATTACATGCATGTTATTTACTAATTATATTATCTATACTACATATAATTATATACATAAATACATACACACTGTGCATTATATAGTTGTATGTGCATTAATAATATATACTTATACACACATGCATGAATGCTGCCAAAATTATAAAACTTCATAAGCGCTGGAGAAAAAAATGTTGAAATCCTCAGCAAATTCTTAGGCTCTCTGAAAGTAACACAAAGGCGGTTTTTCTTAAGACTAGTCCCAGAAGAATTTCCTGGCCAATAATCTTTCCCCACTTTATTCCTTCAGGGCTGGTGGGCAGACAGACTGCTGAGCTGCTGGCGTGGAAATGCAGTCACAGTCCCTTGAACAACTTACTTGAAAAGGGTTCTAAAACATGGAATAAACTCATATATAAAAACTCAGCCAGTGTGTCTTTTTCTTTGTAACAGTGTCAATCTAATACTAATGAGAATATTACCTTTTTTTTTTTTTTGGTGGGTATGGGAATGTTCTCCTGTTGATAAGAATGTTCAAAGTTAGGAAAAAACATTTCTAACTGAGATAATTCAGGAAAAGCACTCAGGGTTCTGGGTATCAGAAAGATGCTTGAAAAAGAAAAGAAACCCACAGAAATTCAAATGTATTATTTGGAGGCTTTCAAAATCATTGTGTGGTCAAGGTAATTTTATGAGGTTTTTTTATGAGAAGTAAGAGAAAATATAAATTATTGTTTCATTGGAAAAAGCTAGAGCTGACGGTGAATAATACCTATTACCATTCATGGAGCCAAGGCAGAGCAGAACGTTCCATCACACACAGGCAGTTATGGAAGATTTAACAGCTATGTTATCAGAGGTGCAGAGCTTCAATTTAAGGGAGATTTTTGTTATATGGTTTGCTACATGGAATTCATGGTGCTTTTTTTGACATGTATATTTCAGTGTATAAGACAAAGAAATTGAAAACTCCAGGAAAATACACAGGTGGATGTTTCCTAGTAAAGAAAGAAAGTTTGGGGCTGGGGATTTAGCTCAGCGGCATAAGCGCCTGCCTTGCAAGCAGGCAGTCATGAGTTCGATCCCTGGTACCGATAAAAAGAAAAAAGACAAAAAAAAAAAAAGAAAGAAAGAAAGAAAGTTCGTTTCCTGAATGGGATCCCTCTCCTACCCACTTTCTCCAATCCTTCTTAATCTCACATATATAAAATACATATTGCATCAGTCTGTTTTCTCTTGTGGAAACAATATACTTGAGATTCGGTAATACAAAAAGAAAAGAGCTTTATTTATCTTCACAAGTTTGGAAGCTGACAGCCCAAGACGGAGCAGTCTCATCTGTTTGGTCTCTGCTATGGACAACACAACAGAAGGCATAATGATGGTTACCGCACATGAAGAGGAGATCACAGGTTGAGACAGGAAGCAAGAAGAGAGAGGGACCAGACTCGCACTTTTGTAACATCTAACTCTGAAGACAAGCAACCAGGGTCCTGCAAGAACTACCTTTGTCTCTTCTGAGGACAGTGCCTCCAATGATCTCCCACTGACTCTGCCTCCTGAGCTTCCCAGCATCATACTGAGCACTGGCTTTTCAGCACACAATTGGGACACCACATCCAAACCAAAGCACATGTATGTGGAACAGACAAAAAATATGCACTCTAATAAGTATATACAGGATATATAATGGGACTGATTAGATTGGCTTTCACATTCTTTCTGTTATTCTACGTCTTCCTCTTTTACGTTTGTCCTGTTAAAAACAGACTTGTTTTTTAGCTTGTTTGAGGAGACAGATTACATCTATAATAACATAATCCATATATCAGGAGAAGAAATTATGTGAATGTGTGAGAGACTAAATTTTTGTTTTTTCTCCTTGTACCTGAGAGAAGTCATATTTAATGGATTGCTTTAAACTTTTTCTATATCCAAATTTGTACATTTAATGTCTTTCCCTTGAGGCATCCAAGGAAAAACTAACATCACACACACACACACACACACACACACACACACACACACACACACTCACGCAAAACCCACCAAGATGTTAATCAGGTATCACATAAGAGATCTGTTTGTCTTTCTTATGAAGTGATGTGAATTTGGTTTCTCTGAAACCATGACCTTAAAAATGTGGAGGGAAAGAGAATGGATTTCAGAAAGTCTTATGGATTTTTTATAATCTCTCAAATTCCCCTTAATAGGAGGCCTCAAAAAAAGAAATCACCATTCTTTCAGGTCTCAAAATGTCATGGTCAGAAATTTCACTCTTAGCCAGGAGAATTTTGCAAACATTTCAAAACAAAAATCAAATAGAACAATAACATTAAATTGCTCTCTTCAAGATAAGTTATAAGAAACATCAGGATACAGACTGAATTTCTAGCTGTAGACCAAATATTGTTCTATGGCTGACATTATAGAATTATCAGATGATTATTTTGACAATCAACTGTTTGAGTTTAAACATTTCTCATTAAGGTTTTAGAAATGACCAGTGTAAAAAAAGTGATACGGGTATGTATTTTACAAATATATCTCTTTCAGAATTTAACAAGACTTTCCTTAAATAGACATGCAGTATAACAAAAGAAACTTCTCACATGGTTCCAGAAATGCTGTAAAAAAATCTAACAATGAGCCTCTTTACCTAGGGATTCAATGTTTAGAGCCTTTAAACAAATTTTTTTTGGTCACCATTATCAAACATGCCAACAGATAGCACTTGATCAGAGAAGGTTCTGAGACCTGTGTAGATTTGTAAAACCTGAAATTCAGCCAATAAAATGATCTGAGATGGCAAATTCTTTTAATGTCAAAATCTCTTCATCATGAAGGTAGTAATGTCACAGTGAACTACTCTACATGGTGGGCTGTGGACTACTGCAGAAGCATCCTTGCTACTTAGCTCTTTATCCTTAGAAAGAGCCACTCACATAGGAGAGGGCACTTTCTGAGAAGAATTAAGTAGTAAATTCAATTATGTACTTAATTGGGGTCAGTTATCTTTCTCAGGTGGTGGAGAAAAGAGTGGAATTCAAATATCCTAACGTCAGGCCCAGCTGAAGACACGGATAGTAGCAAGTTTCATGTATTGACCTTAGTGCTCTTTTGAAAAGAACTTTTGCAGCACCCAATAAATGTCAGGCACTGTGTTAGGCACCAGGATGCACTGATACACAAAAGAGATACATCCCTTTAGCAAAAGAGAGATACATCCTTGACCTCATATTTATTGAAGAAAGATGCACACCAAGTAAACAATTCCCAAATAATTATTTTGTTTTGATTAAGTATTATTAAGGACTACAGAATATGGTCCATATACAAAGGATCTTAATCTAGATGTGACTCAGAAAGCTTTTGTTAGGATTTATATTTATGCTATGATCTGATAAATGACCCAACGATGGTTAATGAGCCAAGGTTGGTTTATCTTTGGTTAACCCACCAAACATAAAAGTTGCTATCACATAAAAATAAAAAATAAAAAAGACAGGGGTAATTATTCTATTTGCAGAAAATGTGAACTTCAAACCTCAAATGATTAAAAGAGATAAAGAAGGTCACTATATACTCATTAGTGGAAAAATTCAAGAGGAAGAACTAACAATTATAAATATATATGCACCAAATACAGGAGCATCCAAATATATAAGACAAATACTAATTGACATGAAAAACCAAATACATAACAACACAATTATAACAGGGGACCTTAACATCCCATTGTCACAAAGAGATAGATCAACCAGACAAAAATTCAGAAAAGAAATAATAACTGAATCATACCTGCAAGCAATTGGACTTTGCAGATGTTTACAAAGTGTTCCACCCAACCACATAAGAATACACATTCTTCTCAGTTGCGCATGGGACATTCTCCAAAATAGACCATATATTATCCCATACAACATTCTTAAGTAACTGCAAAGGTATTGAAATTATCCTATATCTGACCATAGCACACTGAAATTGGAAATTAATGGCAAAATAAATTGTAAAACCTGCATAAATAAACGGAAATTAAATAATAACCTTCAACTAGTGGAATATAGATGAAATTAAAGATGAAATAAATCAATACCAACAATTCAATGAAAATGTGGAAACAACACTATAATCTGTGGGATGAAATAAAAGCGGTCTTAAGAGGGAAATATATACCAATAAACTGTCATTTCAAGAAAACAGAACAAGCACAAATAAACAACCTAATTCTTCATCTCAAGCTTCTAGAAAAAGAAGAGTAAGTTAAACCCAAAGCTCATAGAAGATAGAAAATTGTACAGATTAGAGCAGAAATCAATGCAATTGAAACTAAAAGAACAATATGAAGAATTAATCAAAAAGCTGTTTTTTGAGAGAATAAACAAAACTGACAAACCTCTAGCTAACTTTATCAAAGAAAAACAAAGAAAAAACCCAAATCTATGCAATAAGGACTAAAAAGAGGGAAGTCACTACAGATCCCATGGAAATTCAAAAGATCATGAATATCTAATTTGAAAATCTCTACTCACATAGGGTGAAATCAAAGAGGAAATTGTCAGATTTCTAAAAACATATGAACTACCAAAGCTCAACCAAGAATCTATACAATTTTGAATAACCTAATATCAGCTATTGAAATTGAAAACATAATTAAAAACTTACCGACAAAGAAAAGCCTAAGTCCTGATGGATTCACAGCTGAATTCTATAAGAAATTTAGAGAAGATTTGATGCCAATATTCTTAAACTCTTCAATGAAATTGAAAAGGAAGCAATCCTCCCTAAATCATTCCTTGAGGCAAGTATTACTTTGATACCAAAACCAGAGAAGACCCAACCAAAAAAGAGTGAACTATACGCCAGTCTCACTAATAAACATTGATGCAAAGATTCTCAATAAAAT